TTCAGCCCATCGAACGATTGCCTATTAATGATTTTCACTGCTTTGTGCTTTTGTCTATGCAAAAATGATTCAAAAACTGGAAAATAGTTAAAAATTTCATGCACCAGCGCATGAATGCTGAATTCGAGACCTTGAAAGGTGAATATCTTTCCGTGATTCGCGAGTTAATAGTTTACCCGCCAAAGTTTTCACAAGGCCATGAGTGATACTCAAGAGCGCGGGAACGCTGAATTTGAATAGGCAGGGTTGTGTGTGGGCAGGGGGTCATTACCCTAAAATTTCAACCTCCTAGACTCCGTGGTTCCCAAGACATTAATTTACCCGTAAAAAATTTTCACGGGGCCGTAAGTGTTACCCATAGGTACGGGAAGGCAAATTTAAATTTGCGGAGTCACACGTGGGTGGGGAACGTTACCCTAAATTTTCAGCTTCCTAGCTTTGTGTAAATTTGCGGGGTCACACGTGGGTGGGGGACGTTCCCCTAAATTTTCAGCTTCCTAGCTTTTGTGTTTCCCGAGTTGAAAGTTACAGACAAGTTGCTGCGGACACATAGACACATACAACCTCGTGACAACATGAGTTTTGTACTGCTGTGGCACAGCACAAAACGCGTAGAAATGAAATCTAAATTGGAATGTTTCGGTCCATTAAGTCGCATACATTCCCTTCAGTGCTGCAACTGGAGCTCATCAGTGTGATGGTTGCAGCAGAAGTATTAGTAACATGCAGTGTGGTAAATTTAAGTAGAAAATAAGATTCATACAGATTTCTTCTGTGCCACCCATCTTCTCACCATAATTTTTTGTATTTTTTATTAGGTGGATTCCAGTGCTGCACAGATCAGTTTAGTAAATTGATGTTGAATTTGACGTCGCTTTTGCTCCACCCAGCTTGTGCTTGGGATCTTTTAGTATCGCTTGTTGATGTGATATTTTCTGCGGGATAAACTTCATCCGCAGCTGACCGCTGAATTTTTCATTTACAGTGATGAGTTTCCCAATGGACAATGCAAAATAACGCCTTTTACTGCTCGTGGCAGTGCCGCTTCAGTTGAAGTCTTTCTTGTTTTTATGCTGTTCTCAAATTAGAAATTCTTTCACGGTCAGTGCTTTGGAGTGTTGGGCGAAAGCTTCTCGAAATCTTCATGTCTGCTTATCGTCACACTGATGCCCCGTTCATGATCATCTTGAACCGTTGTAGAAACGTGAATGTTATCAGTTCTCGTGCTTTCATAGTGTCTCTCCTTCTGGTCGATAGAGGGTCTGTATGTCGTTTTGTGTCGATTCCGTTGCGATGCTCATGTTTTTTTGTCACTTGCAAATTTCAATGCATTTGATAGGACAAATTAGGATGTAAATTGTCTTAAAAAACTGTTCATTGGTTGGCTTTTTGAACGCATTTGTCTTGCTGTTTGGGAAATGTTGAAAAACTGTGGCTGTGTTGCATTATGACTCCCTCCTAGGTAGGTCATGTAATGGCACGAAGCTGCCTACATAAGGATCCAGTGTAGAGGCGACCCAGACGACTCACGAGAAGCGTGTACCCTACTTCTCCAAACTATCGCCAAAAAGTCGACGACCCAACTTCACAGGCCCGAGCACCGGGGCAGTCGACAAATCGCGTAGCCACCAACCAAACAGCTGTACAACCTTTCCACCTCCGCTCCACTGAAGCAAAAGATGCGTTGACAGTTTAGTTAGGGATAAAAGAGAGAAGTATGTGGCGGGGTTGGGAAAAGGAAGGATGGGGAGGGTGTGGAAGAAACAAAACTTGGTACCGATCCATCGCTTCCAGACAGTTTCCAAAAAGTTCCGTGGCTGGATCGCTTTTGTTCGACAAATTGCTTAAAATTTTATCATTGATTTGTTGAAGATTTCCAAGCGGCAAGCGATAAGCTGCATTTTTTGCCACGGGGAAATGGTATTGCAATGCCGCGGCAGGGCACGGCACTGTATAATTTTTCCACTGTTAGCCTGTGACAAGTTTTTTGATTTCAGCCATTATTACAGGTTTGTTTCGAAGGCCAGCTTCACGTGCTGGCACGAAATCATCACCAAAAAGTGAGCATAAAGCAGAGCCTGAGAACGTTGTCCCTGAAACTCTTACATCTAATTACACGAGCGGTTAGTTTGCATGTTCTATCAGTGCAATTAGAAAACCAGCCTTTCGTGTGTGTGTGTGTGTGTGTGTGTGTATGTGTGTGTGTGTGTATACGTATGTATGTTTTTAAGAGTATTTGTCTGGGCCTTCCACTAATTATCACTTAGAGGTTAGTCGTTATTCAGACGAGTGTATACGCAGTCTTTTCAGATGTGGACTACCCGCGAAGTTCGGACATTTCGCGTGTTGAAGAGGTTCATTTTGAAACGAACATGTTAATTTATCTGTTTCGGACTTTGAGACTTTTCGTTAAATTCAAAAATTCGTCTCAAAACACTCGTCGCGTTCTGGTAGTGTCGGAATATAATGCAGAAGACAAACAGTGAGAGGAATTGCTTGGATAAGTGGAGTACAGTGAGAGAACACACAAATCAGCAAGAAAATTCAAAAATGGGATAAACTTTATTGCTAAATGAATATATTAGCGCAGGATGCGCTTTTCTATTCGTTACTGTTAATTTCAGCACGTTTTGCACGAGGTTGCAAATGCTCCAAGCGTGAATGCCAGCCGTATAGCAGCAATGTATCAGCTGGATTTCATGAATCCAAAAACTGCAGCTCTTGCAAAATTGGACGATATAGGTACGCTCGAAGTCTGCGAGCGATTACATGAGTTTGGAATCGCGGAGTGCTGCCAGATACTTGTTTTTTCGCCTGCTTTTTGAACAACTCCTTGCTTGTTTGGTATAGTGTTTGCATTAGGGATGTTACTATTCCCGGTTTTTTTCAATATTTATGCTAAAAACCGCGTTTTTTTTTTTTTACGAAACCTAAGTTTTTTGCAACTAATAAATCGGCTTTTACCTCAGTTATCTGTATAGAGACAAATTTCTTTGCCTCTGCGCAGTGAAAGTATTTCTGTTTTGTTCGTTCTCGAAATTTAAGCATAAAGTCCATAATAAGTTAGGCTTAGGTATAGTCAACGTCATTTGAATTTGTTTAAAAATTAGCTAAATTGCAGATCTCTCGTTGCTTTCAAGATTCCTGTGTTTGGAAGAAGAGGTAAAGGATGAAGAAGTGCCATGGACATGGGACTATGTTTTCGCAAGTGTTAGTTCGGAGATGCGTGAGGAATGGGCGCAAGAAGAAGAGCATGAAGATACGGGTTATGAGGACGAGCGTCGTGTGAAGTGAATGATGATAATGTGTAAAATTTCATCTTCTGTCTTCTACGGCTGTGCATTTATCATAAGAATAGGTAGGTTATGAAACATGTTTTCGTCTGCGCAGTTATCGGGCTCATGTAAATATTCTAAACTCTGCAGTTTTTTCGCTTACTGATATTTCGAGAATGTGGAAACCGTAGCCAAACATGAAAAGTGGTACTTTTCGTGCCGTAATCGAGCTGGACCCGGTTGTTTTTCTTGATTCTCTCTCGCCCTGAATTACGCATCATAAAGTTCTTACGCAGTGGTTGGATCGTCTGTTTTGGTCGAGACAGAAAATGTGGCCGATATCCGCTTCCACATTCATGCATTTTGTCTTCTTAACAGCTAGTCGTGAAAGCGTGTTTTGATAGCTCTCAGCTCTGCTTCGCTGCTTTTTTCAAAAAAACTAAATCTTTTGGATGATCAAAATAATATTTGCGCTGGCTTGCTTTTTTTTTTTTTTGCTTGTTTGATTTGTGCATTGGTTGCTTGTAAAATCAACTGAATGGCGCAATAGCGAGTGACACTGTCGTGCATTAGGCCGAGGGTCATACTCCACCAATGGGACAAGCAGTCGTTTTAAGATTCGTTTATTTAGTAGTTATCAGTAAATTAAAGCAAAATTAAAAGGACATGTGTAGTATGAGCATAGATAGGAGAAAAATTGGAACTATTTTTGTAAAGATTTATGTGTGTGAAGGATATCAAGGCCGCCCGGACATCACTGTGGGTATATGTTACATGCAAAACTGAAAATACTTTGACCATTTTCACCCGAATATTGCGCGTTTTCGGACACTTACCCAACAATTGTTCGTTGGATGATGCCTTCGGCAAACAGTGGTTCCCCACTGGGCGACTGTGAAGTACAGCGCGGAAGAAGAATACACAGCCAACGAATATTACGAACAGTTTTGGTAATTACAACAGGAGGAAAGTGGGACAAATAGGTAGGGCTCTTTAGATGAGGGTGAAAGCCTCATTAGGTTCCAGCAACGAAGAAGCGTTGCTTCCGGGTCGACGAGCTAGGGCTTGAATGGCTTTCTTTGGTGTATTGATGGATGTGGAGTGACCAAAGAGTGAGCGAGTTTTGGACTTCGGGTTCGAAAGAGAAAGAAGGAGAAAAGGGGATTCTCTGTTAAGACTTAGATGAGAAATAAGGACCGGTAGGAACTAGCGGAAGCTACTTGGTAAAAGTGTGGATCTTTTCAGGTCATAATCTGTGTTGCTTTCCGTGAAGCTGTCGTTCATTATGCATTCCATTGCACTGATAACATACAAGATGTTCATCTGAACATATTGCGCAGCAGTTGATCGGTTACTCAGAGATAGCGCAGTTTAAGTAATTTAGAATCCAATACTTTGTTTCATGCTCCTTGATGTAATTGGGAATCACATTCTTGGTAACATATTAGCCCCTCGGGGTCATCTGTGCCTCCACTAAACCGTCCAGGTATACCTCCTGGGAGCTTGTCCACCGAGGCACACCTTTTCGTTCTGGCCCTGATTTCTCCCACACATAAGCCGAGTTTTTGGGCGCAAAACTCATTCTTCGTTCTACTCGTACTGGGTGGCGGGTGGGCAACAAAT